TTTTTTTGGTTAGAGTGATTGTGAATTGATATTTAAATTTAAAAAAAAAACGTTTTTTCCTCCCCTCCCCCTTCGCCACTCATTCGAAAGTATTTGTAAATTTCAATTAATTATAAATTCGATTTAATTTAATTTAATCCTTAAGATTTTAATCAGTAACGATTGTTTGTGATGTTTAATAGCGCGTAAATGTTTCAAAAAAATTTGGTGGGTGAATTTTTGAATTTTGATTTTGTTTTGTTGATTTTTAGGTTAAAGTTCTCAAAGAAAAAATCGAGGCAGAAAAGGGTAAAGACTATCCAGCCGTTAATCAAAGGCTGATTTACGCTGGTAAAATCTTGACTGATGAAACCCCATTGAGTGAATATAAGATAGATGAAAAAAAATTCATTGTGGTTATGGTAACCAAACCGAAATTGCCTCCAGCAACACATGCAGGATCCTCAGATTCGACTCCTACACCCGGTACGGGTGATGGAGGTGAAAAACAAACTTCTGATACAACTAGCAATGAACCTCCTGCTTCGGAGAATGTCAACTCTGGTGCAAGCTTTGGTCAAGCTGAATCTGCCTTGTTGATGGGTGATGAATATAATCAATCTCTTAGAAATATTATGGATATGGGATATCCCAAAGAACAGGTAAAAAAAGATAAAATGTATAATTTAATTATTTTATTTTAATTTCGTTCGAAATAAATATCGATATACAATTTTTTCATGACAAAAGGATGAGTATGATTGTGCAATATTGTACAATAAATAAATAATTAGTGTAATTTGCTTAAATGAAATTAATGTCTAATTTTTACTAACTAATATATGTGCTTTATGATTTAGTAAATGCTTTACTTATAATCAATGAAGTGATAATAGCAAAATTCGAGAATGTGTTGTACACTTAGTATAGTGCATATGTGATCAATAAATACATCAATTTTCAACATTTTTTTTTCTGTTAACATATGCACAAATACAATCAAAAGTATTACACAAATATTTTTGACATGTATGTTTTATCGATTTTATTTAATTGAACAATATAAAGAATTATTCGATATTTTCAAACAGTCGCATGTACATGTGCTTCATGTTTTAAACGATCTGTTAGGATAAAAATTTAATTATTAATATTAGGTAGTATTAAAAAAGAGAAAATTGTAATCGCCATGATAAAAATAATAGAAAAGATTAATATAAAATGTAAAATATTTCATTTTTAATCACAATGGGATTAATTTTTTTTTTTTTTTTTTTGCAGGTCGAAAGAGCGCTCAGGGCAAGTTTCAATAATCCAGATCGTGCTGTTGAATATCTTTTGAATGGAATACCATCAGATGTTGATGAT